CGTGATTGTCCTCCTGCGTTTGTCACCCCGAGTTCGTGTCCTGCCATGTTCTCCTTATGACAGAGAGTGAGTGAGAGAGTGAGAGAGAGAGAGAGAGAGAGAGAGAGAGAGAGAGAGAGAGGGGGGGTGAGAGGGAGAGAGGGAGAAAGGGGGAAGAAGGGGGGAGAAGGAAGGGAGAGCGTGTGTGTGTTTGTGATCATGTACCATCACCAGGTGTCTAACTTAATGCATAAGGAACCTCTCAACACTGACTAGGATTCCTAAATAATATAATACTTAAACTAATCATAAGACGCAGAAGGACATACTCTGATATCTATAGTCATGGAGATCTTTAGTCATTATGAGCTCACATTAGTGAGCTCATAATGTTATCTTAATGCTTCCTTCATCCATAATCTACGAATTATTTCTCTGTCGTACAATATGTAAGGATTTTCCTGACCAAACTTATCCCCAGCACACAACAAAAATATCAGGAAGAGAAATACACAAATTGATCCGGGTTGATTGTAATTTGCTTCTCAGTTCTACCTTCTTCAACCCCATTCCCTCCTTCCTCTGTCATATTTCACTGCCAGCTATTAACTCTGGCAATCACTTGAAGGCACCATATGTTACCTCGGGGAGAAGGAACGCCTCGGAGATTATCTACACTCCCACAGCCAGCTCCCTTATCACTCTTATCCAAAGATTCCATAACTCTTGCCACCAAGAGAGAGCCCCGTTAGCGATAATTTCTGAGGAGCTCATGTCCAGCTGAAGCTCCTATTTGAGAATTTTCGACTGTAACATTTCAGGAGAATTTCTTAAACTTGGGCCGTATCTGGATGATTATCTCTCGGCGGTTCAATACTTATCACTTGTCATTATTAAACTTCTGCGTTGAGGGAACTTGAAGGGTCAAAGTTATCGCATTACTTATCATGCATGGATCCTTGTTGCATCAGACTGCTTATACCGGACGGAATGTGATGACGAGGTAAACAAAGGCTCAAAGGATGCCTTAGTCATACATTATATCTGAACATTATGCAACTGTCTGGCATCTAGATAACCTTTTCATGCCATTGTCGAGAATGTAAATAACACTTCATTCCACTGTCTAGAATCTACATCCCACTGTCTAGAATAACCTTACATTTGCTGTTGTTGAATGCCAGCAACCATTAATCGGACCAGCTCTGCGGCTTGTTGAAGTCGTCTTGAAGATTCTTACACTCTTCGTCTGCTTCAGCCCTCCTCATTAGTTTTAAATTTTCTTCAAACATTGACATGTAAGACTTGGTTCCTGCAATCAAGTCATTTATATAAATGAGGAGTAGTATGGGTCCCAGCTCCATGAGACACCCCGCATGTTAATCTACGGCAGTCTGACTTCTCGCCCCTCACTGTCACACTCTGACCTCTGTCTATTAGGTAATTCTTTACCCATGTTAATACATTTCCGCTTACTCCCGCCTGCTGCTTGAGTTTGCATAGTAACGTCTTGTGTCGTACTGTATCGAAGATTTTTAGGCAGCCCAGAAATATGTAGTTAGCTCAGCCTTTTATGTCTTACCTTATTTTCGTTATTTTAAACCTTCAGGAGATTGATCAGGCATGATCTCCCTTTTCTAAAGTCATGTTGTTGTTGTTTGCTTACACACTTAATTATTTCTAGGTGTACAACTAGTCTTAGCCTCAAAATTATTTCAGGTACTTTGCAAGGAATGCTTGTAAATGACGCTGGTCTGAAGGTAAATGGCTCTACACTATCTCCTTTCTTGTAGACTGCCTTCTTATTTGCCATCTTACAGAAGTTGGGTAATTACCCCTTCGCAATTGACTCCTTAAAGATTAGTGCTAGAGGTAGTCTGAGGGCCTGTGATGCTTCTTTTAGCATCCACGGTGGTCCACTATATGGCTCAATAGCCTTAGTTAGATCTAGCTACTTAGTTTAGTTACATTAAGCTTAGCTCCTTTGGTGCAATAAATTCAAATTAAAAAATATCTACATAATTGTCTGTTTTAGTACATTTATAGTTGGATTAGTTTACACAAGTTTACAGTGAATTATATACCTGAGAGAAATATACAACTTTAAATAAATAGCTGACGATGAGAATACAATTTAAAGTAATAATATAAACTTTATCATTTAATACATTTTTTCAACAAATTTTCACAGCCTCATCTCTCTGTTAACAGATTCCAGGCCTGTCCCGGATTAAAATTACTCCTAACTCACAAATGATGCATAGTTGATTTGACTTCCATAGGATTCAAAAGGCTTGTCAGTAAGCCATCTCTTTGCCTCAATTGTTCCTTCAAAATTTTAATTATCCAGATGGGGATCTCCCAGCTTTCTCTGCTGACCAGTTGTTATATTCAATAAACCCTTGAACTATATGTTTAACACATCTCTAACCCTGTCCATGGAGGACAGAAGAAAATGTATATATGCTGGTTAGCATTGTAAATGTGTGGCCACGTCTGTGGTATTAAAAAAAAAAAAAAAATACCTCCGAGAATTTTACAGGTGGTGATCATGTCTTCCAAAACCTTTGTCTTCTAGTGTCGTGAAGTTTATTTCCAGTAATCTTTCCTTATTGATCATGCCCCTCAGCTCGGGGACTTAACTGACTGCATACCTCTGAACTGTATGTACTCACCTAGTTGTGCTTGCAGGGGTTGAGCTCTGGCTCTTTGGTCCCGCCTCTCATCTGTGTATCAACTGGTGTACAGATTCCCGAGCCTACTGGGCTTTATCATATCTACATTTGAAACTGTGTATGGAGTCAGCCTCCACCGCATCAGTGCCTAATGCATTCCATTTGTTTACTGCTGATTTGCTAACTACTGAGTAGTTAACAATGAGTGTGTGTGTGTGAGGCCGATGTTTTCAGCTGATCTCATTAGACTTATGTTTATCAATCAACATTAACAAAAAAAGATATTTCATCCACCAGTTTCTTTCATTCGTCTTCCCCTCATATATTCCATCTAGGATTAATGATCAAAATTTTGATGATTCATCAAAGCAGGCTCAATTATACTCGCAAATCACTCCCCGGCTCCCAGGCATACATAATGAGACAACCTTCAATCAAAGGCTGCAAGACTGCTTTTAATGAAGGAATTCCTTATATCCTCGTTATATACAACATAAATATTTTGTGCCTTCGTTTCGTCATAATTTTCCCCGTTCATATTAAGTGCACAGTTCTTGAACGTAAACAAGGATTTGTTTCCTCCTTGCCTCGACTCTTTTTGTAGGGCAATGACCACCTATCATTCATGTTCGAACCTACATTATGTATGTTATTACCGCACGTGAGGGTAAGAACCTGCACCAACCTGTCAAACCAATCAATGTCGAGTCTCTGTTATCAAGAATACAGAACATTCCTATTGGTTATCATAATTCATAAACTCTCTTCAGTTTGTTCGTTGAGGGACGGGTTGATGTTGATGGAGTGATGTTTAACAAGCATTATTAATGTATTGTCAAGGAGTGAAGGGAAGACGCAGCAAAGCATCAACTAACGGTCGTGAATAAATATGATTAAGCTCCTTCTTAATTTATTAGACTAATGAAGGTGTAACGTTAACGGAGCCTCATTAATTACAAGTGTGGAGAGGGCTAATTGCACGTGTGGAGCATGATAATTACAGGTGTGTGCGGAAAACTAATTGCAGTTGTAGAGGAAAGCTAATTACAGGTGTAGAGAAAGCTAATTGTATATGTAGAAAAGGTAAATTACAGGTGTGGTGGAGAATGCTAATTACAGTTTTTGAGAAAGCTAAATAAGGATTGGAGGAAGTTAATTATTCACGTGCTGAACGGTTAGTATTAATTATGGATGATAATTATTAGTTGTGTAAGGTAATTATTTTTTCTTGGTGAATGGTTGTTAAATAATTACCACCCATCACTATTATGTTGAATAGTCGTTAATATTGCTGGAAGAGTTATGTTTGTGCCGGGTGGTTAATATTGGTGATAACTGATGATTATTATCCATGGAGGATATTAATGACTATTAAATGGTCATCACTTCGGTGGTGGGATGCGTGTCCGAGATACGGTAAGCATTTCCTCTCTGGATCGCGACACATCGCGCGCGCACACGCACGCACGCACGCACGCACACACACACACACAAAAGGTGGTGGCCTTTTTAAGCCATTACCAGTATCAAGACCTGATACTGGAGATCTGTGGAGGTGCGAATGCACCCTGCATGACGGGAGATGTCTCCCTTGTGAATGTGTTAAGATGAAGCCACCCAAAAGGTGGCACGGGCATGAATAGCTCGTAAGTGGTGGCCCTTTTGAGCCATCACCAGTATCAATAGATGATATTGGAGGTCTGTGGAGGTGCGACTGCACCCTGCGTGACGGGAGATGTCTTCCGTGAGCTAGACTAATGATGAAGATTAAGCCACCCAAAAGGTGGCACGGGCATGAATAGCTCGTAAGTGGTGGCCCTTTTGTGCCATTACCAGTATCAATAGCTGATACTGGAGGTCTGTGGAGGTGCGACTGCACCCTGCGTGACGGGAGATGTCTCCCGTGTGGTAGATATGGAGTGAAACACCAACATTAGTGAAGACTTGTTTGATATATAGAAAATTTTTCGACTGTAACGTTTTTTGAGACAATATGGTACTAAATACTAGTAGCAGAATAGAATTTTCTAAGTTTGTATGATAATGCTACATAGTGCTATTATATGACCAAAATTTTTTTAAAACGATTTCACAGTATGCACCAGTATGAAATTTACAAGAAAACTGCATTACCGTGTGCATTTGAATGTGCAATATTGAACAGCGGAAATTCAATTCAGGTAAAGGAGATATATTATTTTTATTCGTTTTTAAAATTGGATTCACTATCTATAAAAATATATATCATTATATTACTCGCAACTTACGTTAATTCTCAGGTGATTAACGTGAGAGTCGTGGAAGAGGAGACTGGAAATGTCAACACACACTCAGATAATAACATAATCAAATATTTAGATTTATGTTGGATAATCTCACAGTCATCATGTGCTTCTGAACCGTGTGCTTCTGAACCGTGTGCTTCTGAACCGTGTGCTTCTGAACCGTGTGCTTCTGAACCGTGTGCTTCTGAACCGTGTGCTTCTGAACCGTGTGCTTCTGAACCGTGTGCTTCTGAACCGTGTGCTTCTGAACCGTGTGCTTCTGAACCGTGTGCTTCTGAACCGTGTGCTTCTGAACCGTGTGCTTCTGAACCGTGTGCTTCTGAACCGTGTGCTTCTGATCCGTGTGCTTCTGAACCGTGGGCTTCTGAACCGTGGGCTTCTGAACCGTGGGCTTCTGAACCGTGGGCTTCTGAACCGTGTGCTTCTGAACCGTGGGCTTCTGAACCGTGGGCTTCTGAACCGTGGGCTTCTGAACCGTGGGCTTCTGAACCGTGGGCTTCTGAACCGTGGGCTTCTGAACCGTGGGCTTCTGAACCGTGTGCTTCTGAACCGTGGGCTTCTGAACCGTGTGCTTCTGACCCGTGTGCTTCTGAACCGTGGGCTTCTGAACCGTGTGCTTCTGAACCGTGTGCTTCTGAACCGTGGGCTTCTGAACCGTGTGCTTCTGGACCATGTGCTTCTGAACCGTGTGCTTCTGAACCGCGAACACGAGAAATTCACAATTTTTTTTCAGGAATCCTAAAATCGCTGAAATTAACCCAAAAATTAACAAATCTTTAATATACAATTATTTTGGACGCTGCACTCAAGACTGTACCATCTCAATTTCAACATAGGGACGAAACCTTAGGACCGCAGCGCATACATTTGTCATAATTATAACCAAACACCAAAAGACTGCATAAAATAACTTTGCATATCAAAAACAAATTCTGTCATTGTTACCACTACATAACATGGTACTACGTCTCAACAAGACACTACAACTCATCAAGTTCATGCTATTCATCGTTCGACTGCTATTCAATATACTATACAAAACTGCGTAGGTGTTTCAGTGTATCGTCCGTAATCAGTCCCGCAATATATCTAAGATACACAAAATACAACGAGGACAAATCTTTCATCCATGATTTTCACAACATAAACAGATGCACAAATTTACTTGAAATATGCTCCAAATTCCAACTAAATACACCCAGAAGGTCTTTTATAGTCACCCTAAGGCCGACAGTTGTTCTGTGGTAGTTCCCAGATCGCAAGGGAACAACACAATGCAATTACAGTATCATATAAATCCTCTACGGGCTCGCCATAGCCCGTGCTACTTGGAACTTTTTGCTCCAGGTAGAGAATCTTAAACAACAAACAACAGTACCATAATTCGTTTTTTACCTCGCTTGACACAGACATTTCTTGAAATATATATATTCTATATTTTACACTCGCTATTCTTATAATCGAATATAAACGTTCCCGGTACAGTCTCAATTCAGTTCTGTCACTGACTGTCGCATACAAATTGGACAGGACGGGGCACAGTCATTGGATAAGACGGGCCACAGTGTGCCACACCTGCCACAGTCGGGGCGCCACACACCTGCCACAGTCGGGGCGCCACACACCTGCCACAGTCGGGGCGCCACACACCTGCCACAGTCGGGACGCCACACACCTGCCACAGTCGGGGCGCGACACAGTCGGGGGCACCTGCCACGCACCTGCCACAGTCGGGGCGCCACGCACCTGCCACAGTCGGGGCGCCACGCACCTGCCACAGTCGGGGCGCCACGCACCTGCCACAGTCGGGGCGCCACGCACCTGCCACAGTCGGGGCGCCACGCACCTGCCACAGTCGGGGCGCCACGCACCTGCCACAGTCGGGGCGCCACGCACCTGCCACAGTCGGGGCGCCACGCACCTGCCACAGTCGGGGCGCCACGCACCTGCCACAGTCGGGGCGCCACGCACCTGCCACAGTCGGGGCGCCACGCACCTGCCACAGTCGGGGCGCCACGCACCTGCCACAGTCGGGGCGCCACGCACCTGCCACAGTCGGGGCGCCACGCACCTGCCACAGTCGGGGCGCCACGCACCTGCCACAGTCGGGGCGCCACGCACCTGCCACAGTCGGGGCGCCACGCACCTGCCACAGTCGGGGCGCCACGCACCTGCCACAGTCGGGGCGCCACGCACCTGCCACAGTCGGGGCGCCACGCACCTGCCACAGTCGGGCGCCACGCACCTGCCACAGTCGGGGCGCCACGCACCTGCCACAGTCGGGGCGCCACGCACCTGCCACAGTCGGGGCGCCACGCACCTGCCACAGTCGGGGCGCCACGCACCTGCCACAGTCGGGCGCCACGCACCTGCCACAGTCGGGGCGCCAGTCGGGGCGCCACGCACCTGCCACAGTCGGGGCGCCACGCACCTGCCACAGTCGGGCGCCACGCACCTGCCACAGTCGGGGCGCCACGCACCTGCCACAGTCGGGGCGCCACGCACCTGCCACAGTCGGGGCGCCACGCACCTGCCACAGTCGGGGCGCCACGCACCTGCCACAGTCGGGGCGCCACGCACCTGCCACAGTCGGGGCGCCACGCACCTGCCACAGTCGGGGCGCCACGCACCTGCCACAGTCGGGGCGCCACGCACCTGCCACAGTCGGGGCGCCACGCACCTGCCACAGTCGGGGCGCCACGCACCTGCCACAGTCGGGGCGCCACGCACCTGCCACAGTCGGGGCGCCACGCACCTGCCACAGTCGGGGCGCCACGCACCTGCCACAGTCGGGGCGCCACGCACCTGCCACAGTCGGGGCGCCACGCACCTGCCACAGTCGGGGCGCCACGCACCTGCCACAGTCGGGGCGCCACGCACCTGCCACAGTCGGGGCGCCACGCACCTGCCACAGTCGGGGCGCCACGCACCTGCCACAGTCGGGGCGCCACGCACCTGCCACAGTGTCGGGGCGCCACGCACCTGCCACAGTCGGGGCGCCACGCACCTGCCACAGTCGGGGCGCCACGCACCTGCCACAGTCGGGGCGCCACGCACCTGCCACAGTCGGGGCGCCACACACCTGCCACAGTCGGGGCGCCACACACCTGCCACAGTCGGGGCGCCACGCACCTGCCACAGTCGGGGCGCCACGCCACGCACCTGCCACAGTCGGGGCGCCACGCACCTGCCACAGTCGGGGCGCCACGCACCTGCCACAGTCGGGGCGCCACGCACCTGCCACAGTCGGGGCGCCACGCACCTGCCACAGTCGGGGCGCCACGCACCTGCCACAGTCGGGGCGCCACGCACCTGCCACAGTCGGGGCGCCACGCACCTGCCACAGCACCTGCCACAGTCGGGGCGCCACGCACCTGCCACAGTCGGGGCGCCACGCACCTGCCACAGTCGGGGCGCCACGCACCTGCCACAGTCGGGGCGCCACGCACCTGCCACAGTCGGGGCGCCACGCACCTGCCACAGTCGGGGCGCCACGCACCTGCCACAGTCGGGGCGCCACGCACCTGCCACAGTCGGGGCGCCACGCACCTGCCACAGTCGGGGCGCCACGCACCTGCCACAGTCGGGGCGCCACGCACCTGCCACAGTCGGGGCGCCACGCACCTGCCACAGTCGGGGCGCCACGCACCTGCCACAGTCGGGGCGCCACGCACCTGCCACAGTCGGGGCGCCACGCACCTGCCACAGTCGGGGCGCCACGCACCTGCCACAGTCGGGGCGCCACGCTGCCACAGTCGGGGCGCCACGCCACAGTCGGGGCGCCACGCACCTGCCACAGTCGGGGCGCCACGCACCTGCCACAGTCGGGGCGCCACGCACCTGCCACAGTCGGGGCGGCGCCACAGTCGGGGCGCCACGCACCTGCCACAGTCGGGGCGCCACGCACCTGCCACAGTCGGGGCGCCACGCACCTGCCACAGTCGGGGCGCCACGCACCTGCCACAGTCGGGGCGCCACGCACCTGCCACAGTCGGGGCGCCACGCACCTGCCACAGTCGGGGCGCCACGCACCTGCCACAGTCGGGGCGCCACGCACCTGCCACAGTCGGGGCGCCACGCACCTGCCACAGTCGGGGCGCCACGCACCTGCCACAGTCGGGGCGCCACGCACCTGCCACAGTCGGGGCGCCACGCACCTGCCACAGTCGGGGCGCCACGCACCTGCCACAGTCGGGGCGCCACGCACCTGCCACAGTCGGGGCGCCACGCACCTGCCACAGTCGGGGCGCCACGCACCTGCCACAGTCGGGGCGCCACGCACCTGCCACAGTCGGGGCGCCACGCACCTGCCACAGTCGGGGCGCCACGCACCTGCCACAGTCGGGGCGCCACGCACCTGCCACAGTCGGGGCGCCACGCACCTGCCACAGTCGGGGCGCCACGCACCTGCCACAGTCGGGGCGCCACGCACCTGCCACAGTCGGGGCGCCACGCACCTGCCACAGTCGGGGCGCCACGCACCTGCCACAGTCGGGGCGCCACGCACCTGCCACAGTCGGGGCGCCACGCACCTGCCACAGTCGGGGCGCCACGCACCTGCCACAGTCGGGGCGCCACGCACCTGCCACAGTCGGGGCGCCACGCACCTGCCACAGTCGGGGCGCCACGCACCTGCCACAGTCGGGGCGCCACGCACCTGCCACAGTCGGGGCGCCACGCACCTGCCACAGTCGGGGCGCCACGCACCTGCCACAGTCGGGGCGCCACGCACCTGCCACAGTCGGGGCGCCACGCACCTGCCACAGTCGGGGCGCCACGCACCTGCCACAGTCGGGGCGCCACGCACCTGCCACAGTCGGGGCGCCACGCACCTGCCACAGTCGGGGCGCCACGCACCTGCCACAGTCGGGGCGCCACGCACCTGCCACAGTCGGGGCGCCACGCACCTGCCACAGTCGGGGCGCCACGCACCTGCCACAGTCGGGGCGCCACGCACCTGCCACAGTCGGGGCGCCACGCACCTGCCACAGTCGGGGCGCCACGCACCTGCCACAGTCGGGGCGCCACGCACCTGCCACAGTCGGGGCGCCACGCACCTGCCACAGTCGGGGCGCCACGCACCTGCCACAGTCGGGGCGCCACGCACCTGCCACAGTCGGGGCGCCACGCACCTGCCACAGTCGGGGCGCCACGCACCTGCCACAGTCGGGGCGCCACGCACCTGCCACAGTCGGGGCGCCACGCACCTGCCACAGTCGGGGCGCCACGCACCTGCCACAGTCGGGGCGCCACGCACCTGCCACAGTCGGGGCGCCACGCACCTGCCACAGTCGGGGCGCCACGCACCTGCCACAGTCGGGGCGCCACGCACCTGCCACAGTCGGGGCGCCACGCACCTGCCACAGTCGGGGCGCCACGCACCTGCCACAGTCGGGGCGCCACGCACCTGCCACAGTCGGGGCGCCACGCACCTGCCACAGTCGGGGCGCCACGCACCTGCCACAGTCGGGGCGCCACGCACCTGCCACAGTCGGGGCGCCACGCACCTGCCACAGTCGGGGCGCCACGCACCTGCCACAGTCGGGGCGCCACGCACCTGCCACAGTCGGGGCGCCACGCACCTGCCACAGTCGGGGCGCCACGCACCTGCCACAGTCGGGGCGCCACGCACCTGCCACAGTCGGGGCGCCACGCACCTGCCACAGTCGGGGCGCCACGCACCTGCCACAGTCGGGGCGCCACGCACCTGCCACAGTCGGGGCGCCACGCACCTGCCACAGTCGGGGCGCCACGCACCTGCCACAGTCGGGGCGCCACGCACCTGCCACAGTCGGGGCGCCACGCACCTGCCACAGTCGGGGCGCCACGCACCTGCCACAGTCGGGGCGCCACGCACCTGCCACAGTCGGGGCGCCACGCACCTGCCACAGTCGGGGCGCCACGCACCTGCCACAGTCGGGGCGCCACGCACCTGCCACAGTCGGGGCGCCACGCACCTGCCACAGTCGGGGCGCCACGCACCTGCCACAGTGCCACAGTCGGGGCGCCACGCACCTGCCACAGTCGGGGCGCCACGCACCTGCCACAGTCGGGGCGCCACGCACCTGCCACAGTCGGGGCGCCACGCACCTGCCACAGTCGGGGCGCCACGCACCTGCCACAGTCGGGGCGCCACGCACCTGCCACAGTCGGGGCGCCACGCACCTGCCACAGTCGGGGCGCCACGCACCTGCCACAGTCGGGGCGCCACGCACCTGCCACAGTCGGGGCGCCACGCACCTGCCACAGTCGGGGCGCCACGCACCTGCCACAGTCGGGGCGCCACGCACCTGCCACAGTCGGGGCGCCACGCACCTGCCACAGTCGGGGCGCCACGCACCTGCCACAGTCGGGGCGCCACGCACCTGCCACAGTCGGGGCGCCACGCACCTGCCACAGTCGGGGCGCCACGCACCTGCCACAGTCGGGGCGCCACGCACCTGCCACAGTCGGGGCGCCACGCACCTGCCACAGTCGGGGCGCCACGCACCTGCCACAGTCGGGGCGCCACGCACCTGCCACAGTCGGGGCGCCACGCACCTGCCACAGTCGGGGCGCCACGCACCTGCCACAGTCGGGGCGCCACGCACCTGCCACAGTCGGGGCGCCACGCACCTGCCACAGTCGGGGCGCCACGCACCTGCCACAGTCGGGGCGCCACGCACCTGCCACAGTCGGGGCGCCACGCACCTGCCACAGTCGGGGCGCCACGCACCTGCCACAGTCGGGGCGCCACGCACCTGCCACAGTCGGGGCGCCACGCACCTGCCACAGTCGGGGCGCCACGCACCTGCCACAGTCGGGGCGCCACGCACCTGCCACAGTCGGGGCGCCACGCACCTGCCACAGTCGGGGCGCCACGCACCTGCCACAGTCGGGGCGCCACGCACCTGCCACAGTCGGGGCGCCACGCACCTGCCACAGTCGGGGCGCCACGCACCTGCCACAGTCGGGGCGCCACGCACCTGCCACAGTCGGGGCGCCACGCACCTGCCACAGTCGGGGCGCCACGCACCTGCCACAGTCGGGGCGCCACGCACCTGCCACAGTCGGGGCGCCACGCACCTGCCACAGTCGGGGCGCCACGCACCTGCCACAGTCGGGGCGCCACGCACCTGCCACAGTCGGGGCGCCACGCACCTGCCACAGTCGGGGCGCCACGCACCTGCCACAGTCGGGGCGCCACGCACCTGCCACAGTCGGGGCGCCACGCACCTGCCACAGTCGGGGCGCCACGCACCTGCCACAGTCGGGGCGCCACGCACCTGCCACAGTCGGGGCGCCACGCACCTGCCACAGTCGGGGCGCCACGCACCTGCCACAGTCGGGGCGCCACGCACCTGCCACAGTCGGGGCGCCACGCACCTGCCACAGTCGGGGCGCCACGCACCTGCCACAGTCGGGGCGCCACGCACCTGCCACAGTCGGGGCGCCACGCACCTGCCACAGTCGGGGCGCCACGCACCTGCCACAGTCGGGGCGCCACGCACCTGCCACAGTCGGGGCGCCACGCACCTGCCACAGTCGGGGCGCCACGCACCTGCCACAGTCGGGGCGCCACGCACCTGCCACAGTCGGGGCGCCACGCACCTGCCACAGTCGGGGCGCCACGCACCTGCCACAGTCGGGGCGCCACGCACCTGCCACAGTCGGGGCGCCACGCACCTGCCACAGTCTGGGCGCCACGCACCTGCCACAGTCACCACTCAAGACAATTACATTCCAATGGCGCCACATCCTCAGTAGGTTGCAGCGAGTGCTCTCCCATCTCCACCACATCTCTGCCACATCGCCACCACATCTCTGCCACATCTCTGCCACATCTCTGCCACATCTATGCCACATCTCTGCCACATCTCTGCCACATCGCCACCTCATCTCCGCCACATCTCTGCCACATCTCTGCCACATCTCCGCCACATCTCCGCCACATCTCTGCCACATCTCCGCCACATCTCTGCCACATCGCCACCACATCTCTGCCACATCTCTGCCACATCGCCACCACATCTCTGCCACATCGCCACCACATCTCCACCACATCTCTGCCACATCTCCGCCACATCTCTGCCACATCTCCGCCACATCTCTGCCACATCTCCGCCACATCTCTGCCACATCTCTGCCACATCTCCACCACATCTCCACCACATCTCCGCCACATCTCTAATAATTGCACCTTCACGACCCACAATACTGTGAAATTGATTACACCTCAATAACAATTCCCGCCAGTTACTCCTTCCAGATCTCCTTTCCTAAGACCTCTTATTAAACTGCGACTCATTTTACCTTGAGACAAGACTGAAGTATATATAAATTGTTGAAAAGATTTAACAAAATATAAATATGATTCTATATATATCAACATATAATGGAACTCGAAAGGAAGGTATACCAGTTGGTGAGTTTAGATTTGGTAAAGATCTGGATTACAAAAAAAGGAATTGAGAACAGGATTGGTGATTTATAGAACAAATTAACGATTCACATTATAGACGTTGGATCCAGTGATTGTTTCAAGCGTCGGATAGACATATTGTTATGTGAGAAGGTACTATGGCAATACGAAGCAGATGGTAAGCTTCAAGCTTAAACGTTAATAACAATTACCCACATTTGACCTTTGTAGTTGTAAAATATGAGCCAGCATTGTGGTAAACTAAAGAACAATATAACTAATTTAACTACAAAATAACGCAACAAACTAATTACTTCAAAACTTGACTTTTACACAGATGAAAATAACAATAGAAAGAAAACATAAAAAGTAAAATTTACCCTGCGTGACTCTGAATAAATTATGTACAAATAAATAAAGATAACACGAATGATATTTACCAAAGCCACAACCTGTGCACGAGCTGCTTGCTCAAGTGGTGGAGAACATCAAGCAGTGTGAACACCTTGTGGTGGAGAACATCAAGCAGTGTGAACACCTTGTGGTGGAGAACATCAAGCAGTGTGAACACCTTGTGGTGGAGAACATCAAGCAGTGTGAACACCTTGTGGTGGAGAACATCAAGCAGTGTGAACACCTTGTGGTGGAGAACATCAAGCAGTGTGAACACCTTGTGGTGGAGAACATCAAGCAGTGTGAACACCTTGTGGTGGAGAACATCAAGCAGTGTGAACACCTTGTGGTGGAGAACATCAAGCAGTGTGAACACCTTGTGGTGGAGAACATCAAGCAGTGTGAACACCTTGTGGTGGAGAACATCAAGCAGTGTGAACACCTTGTGGTGGAGAACATCAAGCAGTGTGAACACCTTGTGGTGGAGAACATCAAGCAGTGTGAACACCTTGTGGTGGAGAACATCAAGCAGTGTGAACACCTTGTGGTGGAGAACATCAAGCAGTGTGAACACCTTGTGGTGGAGAACATCAAGCAGTGTGAACACCTTGAAGCACCTGGAGAGACTGAGGTTACGGAGCCGGTCCGGGTTATTCATACCCGTCCTTGTGAAAATGTACACAGTACCGTGACCACCGCACCGTTGATCGTCGGTATGGATTGGTCAGTCCTGGTGTTCTACGACTGACCAACCTCCGACGACACTCGTGGTTTCATATGTGCAGCTTAGTTAATAAGCAACAGGACTGAGCAATCCTTATAGACGATCAATGGTGTGGTGGTCACGGTACTGTGTGTGTTTGGTGAGTGGTCCTGGACGTCATTGGTTCGAATCCTGGTCGGGTCATTTACAGTTCTTCTAAGGCATGCGTGTTCCGGCAGCCTTTTATATATATATATATATATATATATATATATATATATATATATATATATATATATATATATATATATATATATATATATATATATATATATATATAATAAAATGCCACAAACTTGCATAAACTCATCAGAAAGAACTGCTCCCGCGAAAAAAATTGTCTGGAAAAAGCCTACTACAGTTTCCTTAATTCCCCCCCCCCCCCCCCATCCCCCGTTAATAAGTAAAAAAATAACTCCCATTACTGCTTTACATCCTTTAGTAGAACTATGCAATTCAAAAGAATATTTATTTATGTATTGTTAACATATAAAATGAATATAATGACTTGTGAGACTCGCATCATTTCAGAGCTTTGAGACTCTGGTTTTCATAATAATATAAAACTGTTTTATCCATTATCCTTCAGGCTGGGAATAATTAGGGCATTGGAGATATTTACTTTGTGATAATTATGGTATCTTTAGACGTGCTACTCGTTACTAATAATTGCGAGATTAGCAATGTGATATTTTCCTCATTAGCCAGACGTTTAAAGAAGCAACAGTCATGACGATCACACACTATTATCCACAAGGAAAATTATATATATATATATATATATAAATATATATATATATATATATATATATATATATATATATATATATATATATATATATAATCTTTGGACAACACCCACCAGTGGGACTCGAACCCAGAAAGCACAACTACCTTCCAGTAGCTGGCATAACTAGTATGCTTTAAGGTCTGATGGCGTAGTGGGTTAAAGCATACTAGTTATGCCAGCTACTGGAAGGTAGTTGTGCTTTCTGGGTTCGAGTCCCACTGGTGGGTGTTGTCCAAAGATTGTTTATCTTCACTTGTGGTTTATGCAAGTATAGGCTTATATATATATATATATATATATATATATATATATATATATATATATATATATATATATATATATATATATATATATATTATAATAATATAATACATATAATATAATTATGGGGACGAGGACAGGTTGACGAGTTTAGCAGTTACCAGGGAGGATGTTCTTAAACAAATAGTAAAACTCAAACCAAACAAATCCCCAGGGCCGGATGAAGTGTTTGCCAGGGTGCTTAAAGAATGCAAAGAGGAGCTTTGTGACCCACTGTCAACCATATTTAATAAATCAATAGAGTCAGGCAGAGTGCCAGAGTTTTGGAAAGTTGCAAATCAAATGCAATATCTTTCATAGACAACTGGGAACACTTCTATGGAAGAAATGAAATGTATGCTCGTGATGGGGTGCATCTATCGAGAGCTGGGGTTGTTGCTGTTGCGAACTCGTTAGAAGAAGTGGTTAGAGGTGTTTGTTTGGGTTTAAACTGTTAGTAGATAGAGGTATGGGAATTGATTTGGAGGAAGGAGGTAATAAAAGTATGTGTTTGTGGGAGAAAGGAATTGGCAAAACGATCAGGGAAAGAGAAGGTCCGCAAAATAACAATTCACTTAGGGTATATTACACTAACAGTAGAAGTCTAAGAAATAAAATTAACGAATTAAATGCTCTTGTCTGCACAGAAAAAATAGATATTATTGCACTTACCGAAACGTGGATGAATGTAGAAAATAGAGAACTATTAGCTGAATATCAAATATATGGATTTAAACTATTTCACACAGATAGATATATTAGACGAGGAGGTGGAGTAGCCATATATGTTAGGGACAATTTGAAATGTAGTCTCAAAGAGGGAATCAAAACAGAGCCACACACAGAAACTATTTGGATTGAATTAAACGAAAAAGCTAATAATATTATAATAGGAGTAATATATAGGCCACCAAATTTAGACAGAATGGAAGCAAAGCATCTATGGGATGAAATATCTAGAGCATCTAGATCTAACAGTATTTATGTCATGGGTGACTTTAATTTTAGCGGAATAAACTGGTTGAACAAAACAGGGAATAGTGAAGCAGAAGATTTTCTAGAATTAATTGACGATTGCTTTCTTACGCAACACATTAAGGAACCAACACGGGAAAATAATATTTTAGATTTAGTGTTAACTAACAGGGAAACGCAAATTAATGACATCGAAATAGGGAGTGAGCTAGGGAGCAGTGATCACAAAGAAATCAGATTTAGCATAGAATGGAATAGACCAGTAGGAGAAAATTCTGTTAAAGTGCCAGATTTTCGAAAAGCTGATTTTAATAGCCTAAGAAATTTTTTGGGTCAAATTGATTGGAAAGGCTTGGGTATGGGGTGTGGGCCGGTCTTGGAGCGAGACATGAACCCAGCGATAGGTGACTTAAATGGGGATTTCGATGTGGATTCAATATATAACTTATTTAAGAATATTCTAAACAAAGCACAGGAACGTAGTATACCATACAAATTGAATAGATCGTATACTAATGACCCAAAGTGGATAACAAAGAATTTGAAGAACCTTATAGGTAAAAAGAGAGCTTGGTACAAAAGGATTAAAAATGGGGAGGTCACTTTAGAACAGGAATTCGTACAACTGGTTAGAAATGTTAAAAAAGAGATAAGGAAAGCAAAAAGAAACTATGAAGTTCGCATAGCAGGGCAAGCAAAGACAAATCCTAAAGGTTTTTTTTCAGTTATATCGTACTAAGACTAGGGAAAGGATAGGTCCATTAAAAACTGAGACAGGTCAAATAACAGATAGTGATGAAGAGATGAGTAGTATTTTTAATAAATATTTTGTATCTGTATTTACTAAAGAGGAACTTAACAATATGCCTTCAGCCGAACAAGTCTATGTGGGTGGGGACGAGGACAGGTTGACGAGTTTAGCAGTTACCAGGGAGGATGTTCTTAAACAAATAGTAAAACTCAAACCAAACAAATCCCCAGGGCCGGATGAAGTGTTTGCTAGGGTGCTTAAAGAATGCAAAGAGGAGCTTTGTGACCCACTGTCAACCATATTTAATAAATCAATAGAGTCAGGCAGAGTGCCAGAGTTTTGGAAAGTTGCTAATGTGATACCAGTTTTTAAGAAAGGAGATAGATCACTTGCGTCTAACTATCGACCAATTAGCCTAACGTCTATTGTGGGAAAGTTACTCGAATCTATAATAGCAAATA